TGGCGGTCAGTTTCAGCAGCGGCTGAATCTGGACGCCAGTTCCGACTTACATACAGATTCAACTTAAGAACAAACCTACAGTCCCTATCTTGTACGTAACCCGGGGACTGCCTGTATTTAAATTTCAATAAAGACATTTACTGAATATAACAGTGAAGCACTGGAAAGCCAGTTCCAAGTCTATAATAAAATTTAGAAATGCACCTACAACTCTGCACAGACCTGACTGAAGTAGTATCAAGACCAAAATACATAGACCGAGACTGGAGGAACACAAGTGTGCTTGGCATGCTGCAGAACACAGAAAAAGGTGGTTGTGCCTGTAAGCATGTACAATCGGATGTTGACTTTTTAACCTAGACTTACCCAAATACAAATCTGCCAGCTTCCATAAGCCAAAAAGCATTACATATAGCTCCCATAGCAAAGATCACCTGTAAAATAGCAACATTTAAAATTTGTTCAAAAAACTCAACTTTACACTAAAGTGATTCTGGAACATCAAACTGCAAGAGGTACATATGTAAACTAATAAGCTGTATTCTGCTTTGATTTTTTTTCCTGAAAGCTAGCAAACATATGAAGCCTTGCAACATTTTAATGATTAAATGCTTGTTAGCAGCATATTAAATACAACATTTTAAGTGCTGACAACACTAGCTAGGAAATGTATTCAGATGCTTATTAACTAATGCAGATTGGATTGAAATCCAAGCATTTTTAAGTTTAAACATCTACATACAGAGAGTATCCTTCATACTATCTCCTGAAGACTCTCCAAAGGGTGAATGAATACTGAAACCTGTGGAAAGCATTTTTAAATTAGGAATTATTTTTGGCGTGTTAGCATGCACAAAACATACATTATTGCACAGCCTAGTTACTAGAGTTTCAATGAATACGAACAAGCTAATAACTTGAGAATTGCTATGAAGTCTTTATAAAAATATTGTTTGCAAGTCTGATTAATAGTACCCAAACCCAGATAAATTCATGTATATGCAGTATTCCTGTTAAGGATGTAATGATGTAGTTCAGTGGTACCCAATGCGGTGCGTGCGGGCACCACGGCGCCCGCCGAGGCATTTATGTGCGCCCGCCACAGCATCTGGGCAGCCCCTCCCCGGGCATGTAGCACATGAGCGGTGCGTGAGCAGCAGTGACAGCTCTGGGCGCCCAGCAGCCTCAAAAGGTTGGGGACCACTGGTGTAGTTGATTAACCAATAAGTAAACGCTTACAGGTTAATGCTTGAGAACTGTGTTTCTTAAACTTTTTAAGACCAAGGAACACCAAACAATTTTTTTTTTTTAAATGAGGAACAAGGATTTTTTTTGTTGAGGAAAAAAAAGTTGGGGGGGGGGAAGGGTTGAGGGGGAAGTTATTGAGGAAAAAAAAGGACAGAGGGAAAGTTATTAAGGAAAAAAAGGTCCCCTGCCCCGTTAAGGGTGGCCATTTTGAATTCTGTTGTTCTCCACGGCACACCGCTGGCTGAGCAGGATTGCCAGGAGCCCAACATAGTCCCAGCTTGCACCAGGTCTGGGACCTACCCCTGCTGTTGCTCTGCATTTCAAGTGTATTAGGAGCCAGATGGGCTGGCAGTCTGTCTAGGTTCTGACTCATGCCAGGTCTGGGAGCTCAGACTCCCCCCTCTCCTGGACAGGGGCTGCTGCCACCCTGTGCTGCTGCCTCTTTATCAGAGGCAGCAGCACAGGGCGACAAGCAGCTGGTTTTTAAACAAGATACAGCAGCAGCGCTCAGTGGCAGGGGATTTCTCAGGAGTGGGGCCAGAGTGCACTGTCTGCTGGTCTCACCTCAGGGACTATAAGAATTCATGAGGTTAATCAACTATTCAATGAACTGATATTTAAGATACCTAATTCCTATAATTAGGAATCTAGGCAACATGAAGCAGATCTCCGGGAGAAGGGAAGAATCATGACAACCTATGGCATGATTCACCTTGAAAATCAAATACATGAGAATGCATTAACAGTAACCATTCTGGAGAAATGTGGTCAACAGCAAACTTTTTAACTGCAACTCCACATAGACACTTTAGATTCCTTATTGCAAAGCAGTTATGTGAATTTGAACTATGTAGGAAGACATCTTCGAAAACGTCGCTGGATTTCAAAAGGCAACTCCACAATTGTTAATCTTAGCTAGGTTTTGCCTGCAACCCTCCATCACTGGGCATGCTGCAGAAGGGCACGATGCATACTAGTTTTGCACAGATTAATTATGCTATGCCTTTTGTTCAGCCAACCCTTCACCATGACACATGGCATCTTACACTCCTTTGTTTCCACTTACCTGTCCAACACAAACAAAGCAGCTAAATATTATGGTGCCCAACCTGTAAAGAAAATTTGAGATTTTAAAAACTTTAAAAATAGAGCCAAAAGTACTATACACACTAAAATATTTAACAGTACACACACAAAAACCAGAAGTACTTAAGTCTGGAGATTTATTTTTTTTAAACACACACACACACACCCCCCCTACACACACACACACCCCTTCCTAAAGATTTATTTTCTTCGTGGTTGACAACCACATTACAGAACGAATAAATTGCTATTGCTGGTGACAAACATAAGTGTCATTTTGAAGAGTAGATATGTTCAGTTCATTGAAATATGCATTGATCATGACTTCTAGATATCTGATCTAAATTCTCTTAAATAAAGCTGCACATTATATGTACTCGCCAGAGTTCTAAGGCTAAATATTGCTTAATCTGACTATTATTTAAAAAAAGGTCATTGCATTCTTCACACAAGTGTTCCTTGTGCCAAGTGACATCTTAACTAATGCCATAATTAAGAATTATGGCATAACTTAATGCCATAATTCTTCCCCAAAACTTTAAAATGTAATATATGAACATAAAGGGACTGGATTAGATGACCTACGGCGGTCTCTTCCAGTCCTATGATTCTAGTTTACAAACCATACTTAATTGTGCACTGACTTCGGCGTTCATATCACCAGCAATGCATATCTGACAAATTTGAGAAATAGGAGTGCACATGTTCTGGCTTTCAAGTAATATGAGTTGGGTTCCAACTCATTTAAAACCTGTAACTTGAATCTTCATGATATTATCTGTCATACTGCCTTCCTCCTAACAATGAAGTGATGTAACAAGAATACAATGTAAATATTACAGCAAGAAACTATCACACCTAAGGATACATATGGCTCAATTTTCACATTATTCTGTTAAAAAAAAAAACACAACTAAGCTAATGTATTTTTTCCATAATGTATTCATTCAACACTTCATAGTTAAAACTCCCACTAAACCTAGTGGTTTCTCTGCAACAAATGTTAACTTTCAATTTACTCTAGAGATTGTAGGACTCAGAGCTCCTCTACAGGTTTTCCACTTCCAGACAGACTCATACCATTTACTACATGTACAAGATTCATATACACCCAGAAGTTAAAAAATAGTATGGTGGGATTTTGGGTCCCCCCCCTTACAGTAGATCTTTTACTATACTACTACTCTTTAAATATTCTTGTATTAGATATGTGAATCTACCTACCTGCCTTTGGAAAAGTTTAGCAGTACAACTTAGTAAACAAACCAGAAAAATAAAGTTGGGGAATTCTTCCTAAGAGGGTAGATTGATTTAAAGGATGGCTGTCAGTTAACTCGCACAGTTAATTCAAAAACAAAAAATATTTCAGTGCACAACAGTAGATTGTCTTACATAACTTCCTGCAAAACATGTTGCCTGGCAACAAGTACAGCCTTTACTCTCAACCTATTACCATTGTGGGCCGTGTGTGTGTGTGTGTGTGTGTTGTGGGTCATGCCCAATCCTACCTGCATGGCCCTGAGGATGTCACATGGGCAGCAGCTGTGTGCCGAAGGGTCAGATGAGGACCACTGCTTTACACTAAATTCAATGCTTTAATTTTTACAGAGAGTCTGGATTAATGTTTTAATTTAAATAATTGCCTAAAAAACATTTATAGATTTAGGGCGGTGGTTCTCAAAGTGTGTTCTACACTGACTTTCACACCGACCACAGCTCGAGCTCAGCCCCGGTCTCCCTCCCCCCCCCCCCCTCCCAATCGCTCTGGTTTCCCTCGGAGGTGCAAAGGTGGGATTTCCCCTCTCCTAGAGAAGGTGGGGGAGGAAGGGACTTGCTCGGGGGGGGGGGGCTGGTTTCCAGCCACATGGGCAGGGAGGCTAGGGGGTGGGGACAAAGGATTTCCTTCAATTGCTCTGTTGGTTTCACTTTGGCAGTGCAGGGCTCAGCTCAAATCCTTCTCATCAGCTCATTAAGGGATGTGGTGGGGTGGAGGAGAGGAAACAAATGGGGTACAGCACTGGCTGGGATCACACAGGAGGCAAAAGCTGGGGGCAGAAGCGCTGCATGTGCTGGGTTCAGCTGACAAGCTCAGGGCAGGCTCTCACTGCCCATTCACATTTCTCTAACAGGCAGAGTCAACAGGCTGCAGTCCTGGAAAACCGTGCTCAGCATGGGACTGGAAAGCATCAACTCCCTTCGCTTTGCAATTCAGATTCCTTTGCATGTGCTGGCTGATGGGTCTAAATTTGGGGGAGCCTCCTCCTTGCAAAAAGGCAGCAGGGGATGGTGGTGCGGGGGCAGGTGCACCAGGCTATTTGCAAAATCTGGTGCATTTGGCAGGAGCAGGTCCCAATACAATAAGCTTGTCCAGGGCAGAGGAGTTTGTAGTAATTCAAGGTAGTAAGGCTTAGAGATGGGGCAAGCAGGAGGAAACGAACTGACAACTGCACCGTGGACTAGCCTGCACCAGTGCAGGCATGGGCCCTGGGCTTTCCCCAGCCAGGTTACTCTGGGGACAGCAGCATGCCCCCACCAGTGCATCCTGGGCTCGTCTTTCATCCAGGTGAGTTCAGCATAGCATCAGCACCTGACCCTTAGGAAAGGACTACAATGCGCAGAGTAAGGAGAGGGGAGGTAGCGGGGGTTGTTTCTGCTTGGAGCAGGGAATAGGACCAGAAGGCCTCCGTCTCTTGATCGGAGATGGGGCAGGCAGGAGGACAAGAACTGACCACTGCACTGCAGATTGGCCAGCACCAGTGCAGCTGTGAGCCCTGGGCTTCCCCCAGCTAGGTTAGTCTGAGGAGAGCAGCACACCCCCACACCCTGGGATCACCTTTCCCCCAGGAGAGCTCAGCATAGCATCAGGACTCTGCCTGACCCTTAGGAAAGGTCCCCCTCTAGCCACTCTAAGGCTACAGTGCTCGAAGGAAGAAGGAAAGGGGAGGGGAGGCAGCGAGATGTCTGATTTCCTTGGGGTTGGTTCTGCTTGGAACAGGGGATGGGACCAGAAGGCCTCTTGGGGTCTCTATGGTTCTAGGCCTGAGAGACTGGAGCAGCTGCGCAGGGTCCCAGTTGTATGAGGGAGGAAGGAAGGCTGAGCTGCTCTCTCCTCAAGGGGAATGGTAGCACAGTGATCCATTGTCAGGAGGCAATGGGAGCAGCAGGAGCCAGTGCTTGGGTGTAACAGGGGTGCAAAGCCACGTAAGTGCCTGCCTTCCACCCTCCCCTCATGCTCAGACCCTCATACCTCAATCTGATGTCCCCTTCCCCCACCGAGACACCACACCCACAACTTGCTCCTATACCCTCCATCCTGGACAGGCACCCTACCCCCAGTCTACTCATGCACCCTCCATCCTGGCACCCTACCTCCCATCCAGACCTTGCACCCTCTCTCCTGTACCCCACCCTTCTGCCCAGATCCTGTACACCCATCCCTATCCCACTCACTGGCAGCCCTGTTCCCACACACTGAACCCCTCATTTTTGCCTCTACCCCAGAGCGTAAGAATCCACAAAATCCACTACCTCCAGAAAAGTACATCTGGCCTATGGAAAGTCCTGAACCTCAGTTCTCCTTGTCCCTTCTCCTCATGTGGTGGGGCTGGAGTGCCAGTAAAGTGAAGTGTCTCAGTTGGGGGCCACATCAGTGGGGGGGAGGGGGGAAGAAGAGTGGTGTTTGGAGGAGTTTTTTTGCTTTTCATTTGGGTCAGTGGCCCCAACCCAAAAAGAATTCCCCATCCCTGCCATAAATATAGAAAACATTGAAACCTTGTGTGTTGGATATAAATGAATATATTTAAAATGAAGTTAGATAAAAAAACCTAACATGAGTAAGTTAAAAACACTTAATCTGTTTAATAATTTAAATGAAACCATTCTCCTTAGTTGCAGCACATCTTAGGCATAATTATGCAATTAACAGAGAGTTCTACTAGCAATGGATGGTCCACTGACAGGATTATTGAGCCAGGTGATTCACAGGTAAAAATGTTTGAGAACCACTAATTTAAGGTACTCACGTTAACTTTGTTATTTGAGAAAATGGTACATGACATGCATCTTATTTTCTAGATTGCCATATTATATTTCATGTGTGTCAAGCTATATTTGGAATAAAACTGGAATTCAATTAAAAGTGTATTTTAAAATGCATATTCGTACTATATGAAGCCACCTTACACGTTTAATATAGAACAAGGTTCACCAAAAATGTTTTGCATTTAAACTAAGTGTAATTAAGCAAAAGAAGATCAGCTGTAATTTGCAGACTGGTAGATATTTTCAAAAGTAAATGCATCTATTGGTCTTTAGCATTTGTGAAGATCCCACTGGGCACCTAAATCTGGCCTTGCATTATTCTAGTTCTCGGAAGTCAGTCACACTACTGTAACTAGCTTTTAGTCCTATATTGGAGGAGGAAAACAAGCGGTCCTGCTTTTTGGTTTCTGAAAAATTAGTCCACACGAAAAGTATCTGTACTTGCTACTTAAACTGAAACCCAAAAAGGTTAAAGCAAAAAAAAAAGTTTCCACACAATAACGACAGAGTACTTATATTTGGAAAAAGATACCAGCATTTGCTCCACTGTAATATTTATATTTCATGTAGTACATGACTTTGCCTTTATCTTTTGAGGTCAACTTAAGGTTCATAAGCATCCCATTGTACCCTGATTTTGCAGATAATTGACACCACTAACTCATTGAAATATAAAAGCTGCTCACTGATACAGAATATTTTTATTTAAATTATTGTGATTAGGAATTTCAGTGTGCAGACAACTACACGGTTAACTGATAACAGGATTAAGCAATAAACCTGGGTTTGACTACATGTATTTCCACCCCCATTGCTGATTTATGCCAGCTCCCCTCAGTAATTCTATCAGGCAGACCTGATGCTTATCGAACAGTCATACTACTGCTAAAATTTGATGCAGTTACATGACTATTCAATTACGCTATTTAACATGCCTTGTGTTCATCAGGATTATGTTGACCCTCTTTAATACAGCACACTGCTCTGGCAAGATCCTTGGTCCAGCATGATTTTAATTGCTAGATGTCCACTTATCATGGGTATGGACAAGTTTCCCGCAGTCCTATAAAGTTTTACAGCCACCCGTCCTATTTAGATCTAAATTTACCCCTAAATGTCTTCTAAGACCCCAGTAAGCAGTGGAATTGTTGGGAATGCTGCTAGACATTATTGGCCTCTCGTGGTTTGGCAAACTCTCTGTCCCAAGCATGCCAGACTAAAGAGATTCAACCTGTAGCAAGTTTAGGCCTTAACAAATTGTCAGTTTCAAAATTCATGTAAAGCAAGTTTAAAACAAAAAAGTGTATTTTAGTTTTAAAAAAGCCCCACACACCTGATTTTAAAGTTTTTTTAAAAGAATCAAAACGTTTAAATCTCACAAACACTTTTTTCTATTTTGCAGCTTGTTCAGATTCAAGCATTCAAAGAAACTCCATGAAAGCAAGTAGTGTGTTCCACTTGGAAGGAACAAGTCATTAGCTGGGTGGATGCATGTCCAGAAAAACCTCATCTATGTTTTCAGTGTAAATGGACACTTGTCATGCTTACCGTATGCCAAATACTCTGTCTATCAGAAAGCCTCCAAAGAAACAGAGAACCACGTTGGGCCAGGAATACCAGGCATATAATGCCATGAATGTAGCAGTGTTCACCTTCATATCCTAAGAATATGAAAAATTTGCAACAAAAAAAAAAAAAATCATTTAGCACTATAAAATTAGTATCAAGTAACAATTTCTCAAATAGCACTTAATTAAAACAGGACTATTCAACTTTGGAAGCCCAGGGGCCACAGAGATACTCACAGCACATGCCAAGGGCCGCCACTTAAGTGTGGTTGCATATACATGCAAATACCTTCTTACATACTGATGGGCATGAATACAAAGCACTTCCCACAATGACCCAGTGCCCCTCCTCCCTGGGGGCTAGAAACACCGACACCTTGTACACCCATCTGTTCCAGCCAGCCCTTCCACTTGCATCTTTCAATGCTCACCTCACCTGGGAGACGCCTCACCGTTGTGAAGCATGTTCCAAGTGGAGGCCATATTCAAAGGATCCCACCCACAGGCCGTGTGTTGAGCCCTGCATAAACCCAAACCACACGGTGGGCTGCAAACAAATGGGCCGCATGTTGAATAGATCTGAATTAAAACACTCTTTTATAAGGAAGCCTGCATTTTTTAACTGCTACCAAGTGTTTAGAAATCCCAAGGTAAGTCTTACCAATTGCCATAGGAAAAACTTTAAAAAAATGAACAGTTTTCAAAGTGCTACTAGCTAGACTAACATGTAGATGGTATCATGAGCTTTCGTGGCCACTGCCCACTTCTCCAGAAGACTGGAGTGTTGGACCAAGATACTTCTTGGATCTGGACTCACGATACCATCTTTTTTTTGTTAGTCTTTAAAGTGCTACGAGACTATTTGTTGTTTGTTAAGTTTTTCCTGTTACAGACTAACTTGGCTACCCCTCTGAAGCAACTGCCATAGGTAATTTAGAATGTTTCACTGGCAAAGGGTAAGCCTTACCTATAAAGCTGTAGAATTTCTATGAGAAGACTGTTTTTAAAAGGCACCAACACACACACACACACACACACACACACACAAAAAGACACCACATAGTGAGTGTTGGGCTCTTAGCTATTCTTTGTGCCTCTGAAAATCTCCCCAAGTTGGTTTTAAACCCCAAGTTTCTAGCACTTGCTGTGAAGAAACCATTTCAAATGTAACCAATGCACGCTTAGTCCGAAGTGAGAGATTTTAAACCACCCAAGACTTAAATTCTAGCCCAGACAGATAGTTCAGGTCCTGGAGAGCTCATCCAGGAGAAGAGATTTCTGCTTGAGACACAAACTACTATACTGTGGCTATATTCCAGTCTCAAAGAGAAATCAACAGGTCCTAGCTTCCCCTCTGGACATGCATAGAGGAGTGCACTCAGAACACAGTTGCATGGCATGTAGAAAATGCAAGCCTTCTGTATAAGCTCCCCAAATCCAGCCTTCTTCACACAGTCTTAGGGCTAGTCAACTGAAGCATATCTGATGAAGACATTCTGTGCCAACAGAAGATTTTGCAGTTTGTTCACATTCAAACACTCAAACTCGTGAAAAAAGTAGGATGTCAACTTGGAAGGATCGAGCCATTAGATAGGTGGATGCATGTCCACACAATCAAAGAATACTAGAACTAGAAAGGACCTTGAGAGGTCAACAAGTCCAGTCCCCTGCCCTCATGGCAGGACCAAGCAACATCTAGAGTAGACTTCCGATAATCCAGAACCTATGGGACCTAGGTGGTGCCGGATTATCAGATATGCCGAACTATCAGGAGGTAATATAAGCTGGTTTTTTTTTTTTAAATATATATATATATATACACATACATACATACATACACACACACACACAGTATACATTATATACTGTATATAAAGTGTTCTTAACCCCTTTTATTGTACATTACATATACAGTATACTGTAATGTTTTAGTTTTAAGCCTTTTTTACCCTTTTTGCTCAGTTCAGCTGCTGCTGCTATTACCTTGTGACTCATTTTTTGCCGAAGCTCACTCACTAGGCTCTTGCCATTTTGATGCCGGACTATCAGGAGTGCCGGACTATTGGAGTTTTACTGTACCTCTAACCTGCTCATAAAATATCTCCAGTGATGGAGATTCTACAACCTCCCTAGGCAATTGATTCCATAGCTTAACCTTCATGACAGTTAGGACGTTTTTTCCTGATGTCCAACCTAAACCTTACTTGCTGCAATTTAAGCCCATTGCTTCTTGTCCAGAAAAACCTAATCTACATTTTCAGTATAGATGACACTGTTGTCATGTTTACCATATTACAAATACTTCGCCTATCAGGAAGCCTCTAAAGAAACACAGAACCACATTGGGTCAGGAATACCAGACAAATACCATGAATGCATCAGTCCCAAAGGCTTAATTACTCCATCTCAAAGACAAACAGAAGCTATGCTGGCATGAGAGCATCTCCCCACAACTTAACACTGGCATGCACAGTGCTTAGGTCAATGTAATTTGCATTATTTGGAGGAGTGGCTTTGTCACACCCGAGTGATGCAAGTTATATTGACTTAAGCACTAACGTAGACATGCCCTTAGATTTACCCCTAAAAACCGCTTACATCTACAATTTTTGTAAGGTTTCAGTCATGCTGCTCCTGCCCGTTGTAAATTTCTGCATTTATGGCTTCCTAAGCAAAAGTGAAACTTTTTACTACTGACACGCAGAAGGATTGTCAAACACAACCAACACAAAAGGCAAATACCCTAAAACAGTCAGACACTGACTGCATTCTTACAGAATATTAAAAATAAACTAGCCCCCAAACTGATTTCTATAGTCCCTTGCAAAACAACATGGATCAGTATGGAAATTAAGGTTAAAAAAAAAACAAGAAATATGCAAAACTTTGACATATATAAATGCTGTTGAAATGAAAAGCTTTCAGGCATGCAAAATCCATCAGTATTTTGCATACCAATTTGTCAAACTGTAGAAGTGTAATTATTTCCTCTCAGTTTTGGTTTACTAAGAGCCCAACTCTTATTTGTAATGCAACTTATTTGTAGTGAGTATCATTTATCCATATGATTAGCCCCCACTAAGTGAACTGGATTATTTTGTGCACATGCACTACCAAACAAGAATAAGGGTCATGGATATATATCCCATTGCTTACTGCACAACTAGAAGGTATGCAGGTACCTTTGTGATAAATGCAGTACAAGAACTCAAGGAATTGATAGTTACAGAGCAGCAGCCCAGACTTTTTGCATGTGCTCAACTCCTTCCTTGCAAAATAAATTCTCAGATGGCCATCACTTCTCTAGTTTGAAAGCCTTAACTGGACAGCCATATAAATACGACATTTCAGTCATTTTTCTAATTTGACTTTAAAGCAAGGGGCCTTTTAAATGCTTACTACAATCACATAAAAAATTGGGTAAATTTTATACAGTGTTGTGTCACAAGTTCATCTATCTAAATGCTGAAAACTACTTTAACAAAAAAGCACTGGTCTAGACAATGCACTGTCAGCAGGAGGCACCACTGCTCATTGGGGTAGTTTAATTATACTGGCAGGAAAGCTCTTGCCCACTGGCACAAAGCAGTTTCAGAGGAAACCTTAGTGGCACAGTTGCAGCTGTGTCACTAAGATTCCTAGCACAAACAGTCTTAATGCCATTCATAAATGCAGCATGGCAGAGAGATGGTTCTCTTGGGAAAATCCTGACTTGAGCTCAGTCTCAGCCATAAGTCTACTCCGCCTCCCTGTGTTTTAAATACAAAAAAGGAGCTGGCAGGTGCAACTGACCACTACCAAATGGACATGCAACTATGCTATTCCAGACAGGTAGGTTGTGGCTCATGTGAAAAACACCATTAGGGAGGGTCACCTCCTGAGTATCCTGGTATTTGCATGCAGAGAGTGCATAACTCCAGTTCATGATCTCTCACTCTGGTCAGGAAGGTCAGATATTGCACATGTACAAGTAGTTTTGCTATTTTAGACCTTTTCCAAATTCAGCAAATGCACACATTCCACCAATAGGGCTAACTACAGTTTCTTCTTCCTGGCAGTCATTTATTTTATTAAATATCACCTTTATGGCATGAGAAATGTCAGATAAAAGTGTATGAAGGTAGGGGTTTGAATCACAGGTGGCACCTCTTATTCATAAATACAAAGTCATTGCTTTGAAACAATTCATACACTAATTTGAGCCTTTAGAGCATGCAGATACTACTTAAAGTAGACCCAAAACTAAATTCTGAGCATTCTTGATGACTATGAGTGAAGCTTTGTTTAGGACAGACCCAAATGATGCCTTTTCTTTATTGTTCAAACCATTAAAGACACATCAGCTTGAAAAGTACTTAACTTCAGAAATAAAAAAAGAGAGCTTACTTCCAAGCCCCATCCCAACTTGTAGTTTTACAATACTTCTTCCCCTACTTCAAAGAAACCTCCCTCTGCCCCTCCAGTGCCTTGCAAAAGATTCCTCTCCCAACCCCACCCACATCACACAAGGGGGAAAATAGACTAAATGGGTAGTTATTCTAGATACAGGAAGGACAACATCAATCCTTCATATGAGTTCAATGGGATTATTCACAATTATGCCTGAGGAATATTGCAGTACTGCTTTAGGCCATAAGAAGTGATACTTTAATAGGCACATAATTTTCAAAAAATAATTGAAATTGTTATGGTAAGAGTGTTTTTAAAAGTTACATTCAAGAAGATCAATGTTTCAACTAATACAATAGAGTAAGATTTAAAACTTGAATTATAGCGCTTGACAATGTTCTTGTTATAGAGAAAGAATCAATGCCCGTTTACTAGATTACATGGATGATTTCTCCATTCTACTAATGCACAGTTAAAGTTGTCTTTAGAATAACATAAAGTAAGCATATTTCTGAAACACAGTCCCTCCAAAAGAGTCAGCTATTATATGTAAGGAATTTTCTTCACTTACCCCTTGAACCTGAGTCTGCAGAGCTGCTGGGTTGTCATAACAAAAATAACTACCTACCAAAAAAAGTTAAGACACTAAATAAGCAGACTATTTAGAAATACTGAATATAAAACTAAGATTATTTTAATAAAGATTGTATAGCCAGGTTCCAGGTGTCATTTACAATAGTCAAACTGGATTGCATTTTAAATAACATTTGTGCAAAATCATGCCATGGATAACAGACGTTTCCCATTGTGTTTATTAAGTTCACTTCCCTCAGTAGTCAATGGAGACTACTGCAATGCTTTATGATACATTTACAAACAAAAATGCAGTAATATATTAGTAGTTTTAAAATCTGTTTAAAATAGTACTAAGCTTGCCAGTTAAAGAAGTTCCCTATAAAATTTGAAAAGAAAATTCAACCAGTGATATTCTTCAGGTTTGTTCAGCAAACCTTAGGAATCAAGTTAAAGATAACTAGGGATGTTAAAATACCATTGTTTTACTAATCAGTGAGTCAATAAAACATCAGAACATAAGAACGGCCGTACTGGGTCAGACCAAAGGTCCATCTAGCCCAGTAGCCTGTCTGGCGACAGTGACCAGCACCAGGTGCCCCAGAGAGGGTAGACTGAAGACAATGACCAAGTGATTTGTCTCTTGCCTTCCTTCTCCAGCCTCTGACAAACAAACAGAGGCCAGGGACACCAATTCTATCCCCTGGCTAATAGCCTTTTATGGACCTAACCTCCAGGAAATTATCTAGCTTCTCTTTAAGCTCTGTTATAGTCCTAGCTTTCACAGCCTCCTCTGGCAAGGAGTTCCACAGATTGACTACACGCTGTGTGAAGAAGAACTTTCTTTTATTAGTTTTAAACCTGCTACCCATTAATTTCATTTGGTGTCCTCTAGTTCTTCTATTATGGGAACTAATAACTAACTTTTCTTTATCCGCTCTCTCCACACCACTCATGATTTTATATACCTCTATCATATCCCCCCTCAGTCTCCTCTTTTCTAAACTGAAAAGTCCCAGTTGCTTTAACCTCTCCTCATATGGGACCCATTCCAAACTCTTAATCATTTTAGTTGCCCTTTTCTATCAAAAATTCTATCAACTTCTCCATTAGTCGAAAGGGGAAGGCAAATGGCTCAGTCCCGGCTCACGATGCGTCTGGGACCAAAGCACACTGGGGTTTGGACTCAGCATGACCTGGGACTGACACAGGCTGCCTGCCCAGCCAGCAGCAGCCCATCCACAGGGATTCCCGCTTCCTGCCAGGACCCCCTCCTCCACAGACAGGGGCTGCTGATGGACCAGCCTCCTCTGTCTCCCCGTGCTGCTGTCTCTGCAGGGGGAATGAGAAGAGGGGGGCACACAACACCATGGAGATGGTGCTGGGGGAGAAAACCAGCACCAGCTCCTGCTTCCCCCTGCCCCTGTTACAGAGGAAGCAAGGTGTGGGGAGAGGGATGAAGATGCAAGTAGTCAACTGGACTGCTCACATCCCTAAAGAGAACACTATAGGGGATTCACATAATTAGTGACTGGTGGTTATCTAAGTGTGTGACTAAAACAAGTTATTGTGTGGATGCAGTATACATCACTCTTTATCGATACCTTCCACAGCATCATGAAGGTATCGATAGGATTGTTGAAAGGAGGGTCACTAATAAGTGTCCCTCAGGAACTTCTACGGTTCTGCATTTGTAAAGTCCTGCACAGATACAGAACTGGTACCTGCATCCACTAAAATGATCCACAGATGCAGATACAAAGTGGATAGCCACAAATTTGCTGAGCTCTATGCATTTGCACTAGCCACACCCAAAGCCTGATACTGCAAAAAATACAAGAAGTACCAGTGCTCACAAAGGAGCCATTTTTCATTTGATAAAAAGGAACCCTTCCTGTTAATTAGAACCTGCTCAATCATACTGAATAAGCAATGATCCTTCAAAACCTAATCAAATGTGGTTTGTTTAAAGTATGGTTCTTTAAAGTGAAGATGCCTAGGCTTCTATCATGTTTTACTTTTTGAAAAACAGCTATAAAACCTACTGCAAATGTTTTAATTACTTTTTTAAAACCCTCAAAACAGGGTGTTTGGATATAAATATCCCTGAGCAGAGTATAAAAATTCAAATATTATAGCTCTGCACTAGTGCATAGGAAAGTCAGATTGAAAAATAAAACTGACTACTCCATTCAACCTGGGCAATAAACAAAGAAAAAAAATGCATGTAACTTAAAGAGTTACTAAAAGCTAATTAAAATAGTACAGGCAGTCCCCGGGTTACATACAAGATAGGGACTTTAGGTTTGTTCTTAAGTTGAATCTGTATGTAAGTCAGAACTGGCATCAGCCGCTGCTGAAACTGATCAGTTTCAACCGCGGCTGAATCTGGACGCCAGTTCTGACTTACATGCAGATTCAACTTAAGAACCCCTGGCATCCCCAAGTCAGCTGCTGCTGAAACTGATCAGCGGCTGATTCCAGGAAGCCTGGGGCAGAGCAGCTGGGGTGCTGCTGGGTTGCTCCAGTAGCGCAGCTCCAGTAGCGCTGAGGAGCTGCGCT